AGGCGCTGGTTCCCACATAGCTGGCTGCATGGTTTGAGTCCCAGACCTGCAGGATTGAAAGTCACACCAGGAACACAAGCATGCATGCCCAAAATCCCAAGAGGAGAATGGAGGAGAAGAGATTGCAGTGTGGCCATTCCCCCTTGGGGATGATTTCTCACTTTCCCTCTTTCTGTTTGTCTGTCTCTCTCTGGCAAACACACATACCCTATAACAAAAATTGGAAAACCTAAAAAGGGTAGATTTTATTTTTCTAATACTATCAGGACCCAAACATCCCTACTTTAGAGGAGGCAGCAGTGATAAAAATACGGGTAGAGAAATTGAAGTCAAATGAAGTCTTCTTCCTGTCCTCTTCATTCTCAGCCATCACGCTCACAGGCAGCGCCCACACTCTGAATCGCGCCTTTACTCTCAGCATCAATATATAGCAGGGCAAGGGGGACCCAGACTTAGGTTGGCAACACGGTTTTTTCAGAGTCTTGCTTGAATCTTAGAGTCTTCCCTGAGAAAAGTGACAGCCTGGGGAACCAGCAGTTAGCGTAATGGCTATGTCGCTGGACTCCCACCTAGTCGACTGCTGTTCGCGTCCCGGACCTGGTGGCTTAAAACTCTCGCCGGGCGCGTGTGCGTGCGTGCCCAAGATCCCGAGAGGAGAAGGGAGGAGAAGGGACTGCGGCATGACCATCCTCCCTGGGGGGTGATTTCTCGCTTTCTGTCTCTATGTCTCTGTCTGTCTGGCGAGCGCACACGCCCTATTGTGAAAATCTCTCCAAAAAAAAAAAAAGAGAAAAGTGACAGCCTGACAGTGGGCTTCTAGAATTACTTTGATTTTCTAAACTCCATTTCTATGATTTGGAAATGGACCTAGACGGGTTTGTAGCATTGCAGAATGTTTTGGCCCTCCTCTTTTTCTACGTTACTGTAGCACCTACTTCATCTAGACCCACTTAGTTCAGGACTGTGGTCATGAAGGTAGGGCAAGTGACAAAGGAAATGTTGGTGAAGAAAATTGACCATCTAAACAAAATGAGAGGTGACACATCTAGGCTATATAAGTATCTTGAACGACTGTTTATCTCCAACTACCACCCTGTTCATTGTACGCTCTTCTATTGATATTTTTTTTTCAAAGTGTACTCCTTGAAGACCTCTTCCCAAGCAGCCCTTACTCAACTTCCACTAGTTAGTTACTCCATGCACATTTATTCCCCACAAAGAAGCCTTGCAATCTCACATGGTGGCGATGACAGCAGCCACTAATGTGTGCCGCCTGGTTTCAGCACTGTTGCATGTATTCCTTCCAATTGCCCTTGATGTAGGTTGCTTATTGTCCCCTTTTGAAGCTAAGGAAGCTAAGACTGAGAGCTAAGTTAGCT